TGCACAAGATCCTGCCTCAGGTTCTGCCCTCTACATGCCCACACTCAACCAAAAATGGTCAATGCAAAGTACCTCATGAATGTTAAGGTGTATTTAAATGAGTCAACTGATCAACGTCACCAAAAGTAATTGGCCAGCTCAGATACACACTCCATCGTGCATCTGGACGAGGACGGCTGCTGACATTACACCAACAGATTGTCTGTAATTTATAGATTTTCCTTCATTTTGCAGGTATGCAGACTTTTAGATTAATCTCATTGATCTTTTCAAAAACGTAACTTCAAATTTATTTTCTCTTAGAGCCAAGGATGTTAAAACAACAATAAATTTAATTAAATAACCCAATCACTGTCCCATTTTTCAGCTGGAACAAGTTCACCACTTACAGGTGCTGGTCATATAATTAGAATATCATGAAAAAGTAGATTTATTTCAGTAATTCCATTTAAAAAGTGAAACTTGTATATTATATTCATACATTACATACAAACTCATATATTTCAAATGTTTATTTCATTTAATTTTGATGATTACAAATGACAACAAATGAAAATCTCAAATTCAGCATTTCAGAAAATTAGAATCTTGTGAAAAGGTTCAAAATGGATGGCACCTGGTACCACACTCTAATCAGCTAATTAACTCAAACCACCTGCAAAGGCCTTTAAATGGTCTTTCAGTCTAGTTCTATAGGCTACACAATCATGGGGACGACTGCTGACTTGACAGTTGTCCAAAAGACGACCATCGACACCTTGCACAAGGAGGGCAAGACACAAAAGGTCATCGCTAAAGAGGCTGGCTGTTCACAGAGCTCTGTGTCCAAGCACATTAATAGAGAGGCGAAGGGAAGGAAAAGATGTGGTCGAAAAAAATGTACAAGCAAGAGAGATAACCGCACCCTGGAGAGGATTGTGAAACAAAACCCATTCAAAAATGTGGGGGAGATTCACAAAGAGTGGACTGCAGCTGGAGTGAGTGCTTCAAGAACCACCACACACAGACGTATGAAAGACATGGTTTCTGCTGTCGCATTCCTTGTGTCAAGCCACTCTTGAACCACAGACAGCGTCAGAAGTGTCTTGCCTGGGCTACAGAGAAACAGGACTGGACTGCTGGTGAGTGGTCCAAAGTCATGTTCTCTGATGAAAGTAAATTTTGCATTTCCTTTGGAAATCAAGGTCCCAGAGTCTGGAGGAAAAGAAGAGAGGCACTTCATCCACGTTGCTTGAAGTCCAGTGTAAAGTTTCCACAGTCAGTGATGGTTTGGGGTGCCATGTCATCTGCTGGTGTTGGTCCATTGTGTTTTCTGAGGTCCAGGGTCAARGCAGCCACATACCAGGAAGTTTTAGAGCACTTCATGCTTCCTGTTGCTGACCAACTTTTTGGAGATGCAGATTTCATTTTCCAACAGGACTTGGCACCTGCACACAGTGCCAAAGCTACCAGTACCTGGTTGAAGGACCATGGTATCCCTGTTCTTAATTGGCCAGCAAACTCTCCTGACCTTAACCCCATAGAAAATCTATGGGGTATTGTGAAGAAGAAGATGCAATACACCAGACCCAACAATTCAGAAGAGCTAAAAGCCACTATTAGAGCAACCTGGGCTATCATAACACCTGAGCAGTGCCACAGACTGATCGACTCCATGCCACGCCGCATTGCTGCAGTAATACAGGCCAAAGGAGCCCCAACTAAATACTGAGTGCTGTACATGCTCATACTTTTCATGTTCATACTTTTCAGTTGGCCAACATTTCTATAAATCCTTTGTTTTTATTGGTCTTCAGTAATATTCTAATTTTCTGATATGCTGAATTTGAGATTTTCATTTGTTGTCATTTGTAATCATCAAAATTAAACGAAATAAACATTTGAAATATATGAGTTTGTATGTAATGTATGAATATAATATACAAGTTTCACTTTTTAAATGGAATTACTGAAATAAATCTACTTTTTCATGCTATTCTAATTTTATGACCAGCACCTGTATTAGCATGCTAAGAACTTTTACTCTTGCTCTCAGTGGAGAAGGACGCATTTTTCCTTTGCGCCTACATCCCCAATCTTTCCTGCTTGTTGTGAGTTATTTCTAGCTTGCCGAACATTTTCTTTGCATACTTTTCTGAATATGTTATTTTTATTTTTATGGGTTTGGTTAACTGGTCTCTTAATGAAAATTTGGATCAACTTTCTTCCATCGGAGGGCAGGTCAAGGGGGGACCTTTGTTCGACTGGGATAACTAGCTGGATATATCCTTGTCCTGTGGATGTGGAAACTGATATGCTTGGCTGATTTGAGGATGCTGAAGATTTATACATATTTGAATTTTGATCACTGGATTTCTGCTGATTGGGCTTATGGTCATCTGGTGTATTGTAAAAAAGCATTGACAGCTATTAAGGCAATTTCTCAGCTACCTGACCAGTATGAAAGGATGTGCCGTACTATCAGCACTCAGACTCTAGCCCTGTGTGAGCTGAGACACAGTCTGCAAGCAATTCTTGAGGGTCGTGGGCCAGCTGCAGTCCCTGGAACTCACTGGTGAGATGGAATCGTTCTTGGAGAAGTTGATAGATTGGCTTGGTGGGAATGCCCACACCAATTTGTCTGATTAGATTTACCACCTTGGGATGTACCAGCGGACATTAAGGCAGAAGAAAAAAGTGTCTTCCTGACCGAAAACATTTTCTTGCTATCTGCATTTGGCTCCATGATTCAGCCTTGGCATGCTGACCATCTCAAATTCACCCTGATGGTGTGCAAACAAGACACTCCTCTTCCACCTCCTATCAACACCTGTGACTTCGACTTTGGTTCAGTGCCGACTGATGAACTTTATTCCATCCATCAGGACAATGGCAGAATGTTACCCATGGTGCCCAGGCTCAGAGTGCTGGATCCTGGTCAGCAAAGGTAGCAATTTTATCCACCACTGAGTGCTATGGGGGTGTCCAATAATGACCATGCCCACCATAGATCAATCTTTGACCACCCTATCAGCAGCCGCAGTCATTTGAGGAAAGTAGGCTTTCTAGTTTTTATATTGCTTACAAGAAAAAGTAAAACATTTTTTGTCTTGATAAATGACTCATTTGTGAGTATTTGGTTTCAGTGCTTTTCATAGACACTGTATAAACAAGCTTTAATTTGTTTTCTGTAAGTTTATCCCCTTCCTTTTTGTAAACTACAGGGTAGTATAATTTGTTGTTTTAGACTGGAGAGATTCACATGATCATGCTCAGCAAAGAATCAATCTTACCTGGCTTTAAGCTGTTTGTCATCAGAACTTAAACATTTGAGCCAATCAGTGCTTTAGTAGTGGTTCTTTTTCATTGATTGTCTTAAAACAATCATCCATTTAATATCTCTCTACTAAAAGATTCAGGCAGATGATATTGGTTTTCCAACTGACAGCATGTATTTGCGTTTACCTGCTTGTTAGCAAATTATCTTGTGAGCCACTAGATGTATTTTAATATAACTCAAAAAAGAAATCACTGGATGTATATCAATCCATTTAAAGATGGCTGAATTAGTTAACACAAAATGGTCTATAACTCAGTTATTTTAACAGTTTTTACCAATATTACAAAATTTGATACAGTATCTTGTAATTGTGTACAACATTGTTCATATGTTTATTTATTTTAAGGTTTGACCAAAACAGTTACAGCTTCTGCAAATGTTGCGTTAAAAGATAATGTCAAAACATGTTGACTTTTATTTATAAGTAGTCATTTTGTCATGCTACCTTAAATTATTTTGATGTTTTACAGTTTAACCTGCAGAATGAGTTTTATTGGAAAAGAATAATATAAAAAAAAATAAATCATAGCAAAGCAATCATATGGTTCTGTCTGCAGCTTGGACACCTAATGAATGCAAAAATAAATAAATAAAACTCTGATAAACTAGGCATGCATAAACATTTGTCTAAAAAAGTTAAATCTCGCTAGAAATTGAGAAATATGAACACAAACAAAATGTTTGAACAGATAAACTGTGCTCTTAGAAGAATTTTAGTGTTTTACATGACAATGTTATTTTTGTGCATTTCTCCCTACTTACAAATAATGTGTTGGGGTAATGCAAGTGCTATGTTTTTTAGCATCAGTTTTGATTAATTCATCAAAATGCATGTCTATATTTGATTATTTGCAGCTCAGTGTACATGTAGAAGCAACTAAGAGACTTAAACATCAATACACTGGAGAACATGAAATGGCTATGAAAAAGAAAATGCTAGAAACTGTGAGTTTCAATAAATGCTGTCTGCGTGTTGACTGAATCATGAATAATGCATCATAAAGTCCACAGTTTTTGTAATGAGTGGAGCTTCTGGATTTTGCTTCACTCTAATTTTTAAAGTATATTTTAAGTGAAATGCCTTCTGAATTTTACAGTACACATTAAGGAAAAATTGGGTTGCTAATGTTTCACCTAAACCTTATTCAAGCTAAAATAACACTTTCTGGTAACCTCAATAAATTTCCTTCTGATTAAACTAGGGATAAACAATGGACAAAGCAACTGTATCATCTGATAAATAAACTGACAAATAACTTGATGCTTTGCTTTATCCTATTGTGTTCTTAAAAAAACAACATTTGTTCAGGTATAGTGTGGGGAAAAGGGACAGAGGTATGTCAAAGGAAAATAAATGAACAGTAAAAATGTGCTTTGCATTGAAAATAAAGTATAAGGATTGTGTTGAAGAAACATGTATGCCATTAGAAAAGAGGTGACAGCAGAAATATATTCTTGCTTTTTTATCTTCACTCTAATTATAATCCTAACATAATAAATCTGGAGTTGTTGCAACCTCAATTACTGTAAAAGAAACATATATTTAAAGCTTACTTTTAGAAGATGGATTACCCTGGAGGGAAAAGACAAAGCAATTGCAGTTTGGCTATTTTTTAAACTGTTATGGCTCTTCAGGGGAAAAGGTAGTAAAATGTATTTATTTTTTCGGTTTTCTTTACAGGCCTGATTCGGTTGCAGGAGCTTATAAAAGCACCATCTCGGTATAATATCCGCCTAAAGATCCGGCAGCTGCCTGCAGAGACCAAGGATGCCAAGCCACTTTTAAAGGAGATGAAAAGGGGGAAAGAGTTTCATATCATCTTCGACTGCGGCCATGAAATGGCTGCTGGGATCCTGAAGCAGGTGTGTACTGATGTGTTGCTGGAGCTGTACACGGTGTGTGCTCCAACTGTGGAGGAAGATCAGCTGAGTTCTCAAGTGGAGAAAACAGCAGAATGCAAGATGAGGTGTGAATGGAAAACAAGATAAATCCACTATGTATGAATAAAGAGGAAAGAACTGCAGTGTAAATATTTACTTACAGTAGGTAAAGGTAATAGTATAAAAATGTACTCATTGAAAAAGTAATCAAGTTCCTCATAGTGAAACGTTATCTGCAATGCACAATTCACAAAAGGATATTTGATCTGACTTTTAGCTGTCTATAAAACATTTGGATCATACCATCCGTTTCATCATCTAGTATCTTACATTACATTGTGCCCTCTTTATGATGACCACCAGAGCCAACTGACCTAAGAAAACACAAAAATAACTCTAACGCAGTTTGACAGATATTTAGAAAAAACTTGTGCTAATTTTTGTATCTTTGTATCGTCCCCAACACATAATTCAAGGGCATAATAATGCCATATTTGCCTAAAACCGTGGCAAAAAATGTATTTATTGACATCTTTGACCGTTAGAGTCAACCCTGTTTTTTTTCTGTTCGAAAAATACCAGAAACCACTGGATAGTTTTTGTTGAAACTCAGAAAATAATTATTGTCTGTGCATGTGCAACCAGTGGTGGAAAAAGTACTCAGTTTTCTTATATGAGACAAAGTACTTGTCATATATTACTCCAATAAAAGTAAAAGTTGCTCTGTCAAATTATTACTTAAGTATACCAACATATGTGCTTCAAAAAATACTTATGTATTTTACTTAAAATTTACAGGATTTTTGACAAATGCATTTAACTTGAGTGTTGTTGAGAATAATTGGGAAAATTTCCTGCTATATTGGACAAATAAGTAACTCCAAATATATAATAGTAATGCATTAGTTTGATACAGTATACACTGCCTAAATTTTCCGCCCAGCCAAGTTTTACAATCTTATATTAGCCAAAAAATATTTTTGATTATGCTGTGAGACTAATAAACTAAGTAAGAGTGGTGTGTGTTAGGCTATCAATCTCGATAGCTTAAAAATTGTCTTTATTTATAAGAAGTCTTACCAAATCCATAAGTCTTGCTGCACTGGCAGATTATTTCACATCATTTGAGAGGATTTAGACAATAATCTAGGTTTTGCAGTGTAGTACTTTTCTAGATGCTCAAAGACACTTTATAATTTCATACATTATTCATTCACATTCAGAAGTGTGGCTGCCATTCTGCACCTACAGTCCCTAGACCACCACAATCACAGTCACACCAAGGGGAAGGGCAACACTCTGGTTGCAGGGTGAATGCCTACACCTCTGAAGTCCATTATACACGTTTTACAAGAACTGTCAACTCATAAAATCTCTACATATTCACCACTTCAAGGACAAGGCTTGGGACAGCTTTCATAAGCCGGGTTCCCACCAAACGCATCTTGTGCAGCAAAAATACTCATGATGCATGTTTTTGGCTGCTTGTCAACAGATGTCTGTTCAAATTGAACACATCTGAAGACGCGCAATGAGAGGAGCGTCTTTGTTCATTCTCCGTTCTGTTGAAGTTTGAAATAAAGATAAAATAAATAAAATGACTTTGCTTTATTTACTAAAGAGCAAGCGAATGTTGCGCACAGCAGATAATTAATTCTCCAGATAATTTAGAGGCGCCCTGAAGGACTTTTTTTTTTTCCAGACTGGGACCAGACTAGAGGCGCGTAGAGGGAGGAGCGTCCTGGATTTTTTTCCGGTCTGTCTTTAATGACAGTTGAAATAAAGATAAAATGAATAAAATGGCTTTGCTTTATTTACTAAAGAGCAAGCAAATGTTATGCACAACAGTTAATTAATTCACCATATAATTTAGAGGCGGTTTGTTTGGTTAAGTTTTGCCACTCCAGGAGCTGCAAGCTGATGGCGGTTTTTTCTCTTTTTTTTTGGTCCCGAGTGAGCTGCTGTCTCATCACATCGGTGCTGATAGCCAGAACACCAACTGCAGATGGTCGATTTCAGCTAAAAAGCTCCTGTCGTCAGATTTATAAAGGATTGCATGGAAACCATGCTAAAAGTGAACACACGGCCAAAAGATGAAAATGGCGTACGCAAAAAAAAATTCAGATTTATAAAACCGTGCGTACGCATGTTTCACCGCATTTTCCCTTTATAGATCACAGCTGTGCTTCATAATTTGCGCACAAGGTCCCACCTCAGGTTCTGCCCTCTACACGCCCACACTCAACCATAAACAGTCAATGCAAAGTACCTCATGAATGTTAAGATGTATTTAAATCAGTCAGCTGATCGATGTCAAAAAAGCGATTGGCTCAGTCGTGCTCCGTCGTGCGTCTGGAGGATGACAGGTGCTGACAGCTGCTCACGTGAACAGAGTATCTGTAAGTCAGATAAATTTAAGTTCACCGCTCTTCTCCCTCGTCCTCCCCCTCTCTGCTCTGTTATCTGCGGCAGACCACCCCCACCCCCACATCCCCACAGCCACCACCCCACACCCACGCGTGACAAATGCAGTGTTTTAAAAAGTGAACATTTTATAACATCCAAACTAGTGAGGGTGGGTGCGCCCTGCATGTACCCAAAGCGTGACTTTTGCTGTCGTGCTGTTGAAATGTGTCTTGTCGGGGAGGGGTCTGTGGGTCAGAGTCGTGAGGAGGAGGAAAGAAATTAATGAGTTGCGTGAACTTTTATTTAAGATTTAAGTTTTTTTTTAATTTCAAAGTTCCTTCTGGCTCAGCAGCAGAAGCATAAATATTACTGTTAAGAAAGCTGATGATAAAGCTGAATAAAAATCTAAGTTTGATTATGAAGAGAAATTAAATATCTGACAGTGATCATTACATAGTGTGGCTCTAATTCCTCACTTCACCATCGGTGTCACAGTTTCACGTCTCCAAAATGAGCGTACGCATGGGTCAGAGATGACGTGAGGCACTGCACAATTTCACGTCAAGTTTGGATTTTATAAGTCACAACCTTGGCATAAAAAGTGGCGTACGCAAGTTTCTGGGCTCATATTGTGCCTACACAAGTTTTATAAATCCAAACCCCTGTCCGTCTGTGTCGGGTTTATGAAACCGTCACTTGAAAAAATATTCTCTCCCGACTGGTTGCTGCTGCATGTCGAGCAGCCAAAGTTTAATTTGTTGAACTCCAGCAGCAGCTGCTTTGGACGTGCCGCATGCACGGAAAATGCTCTGCCGCATCTTATCTCTACCTTGCGCACTGCTCCAAACTGCCAAAATATGCCGCAACACGCTGCGCTGCTCCTAGATGTGTGTCCACCATAGACTTTGCATGTAAACTTGCTGATTTGGCTGCTCAAAACGCATTTGGTGGGAACCCGGCTGTAGAATAGTTTTATGTGACTAATTAAGGAGCTCCTAATATTAACTTTTGGGGGAAGCATTTCATACTGAGCCTTTTAGTTATTTGTAACATTTTTACTAGTTTTCTGAATTGAAAGTATTGTCCTGATGCATTCCAATAATCCAAGTATTAAAAAAATGTTTAGAAGGTCTTCTGGACGGTAAACTTTACCTGAAACTCCTCAGACCGAAGAAGTCTCTTGTAGAAGAGACGAAACGTTTCATTTAATAAGAAACCATCCAGAAGACATACTCATGATTTTTTAAATTGAAAATAATATTTACTATAAAAATAGAAACACTTTTGTACAAAACAATTTAACAAAGTTTGTTTGGTAGAAATCCATTAAAATCACAGTCACTAAAAGTCTAATACACTAACTAAAGTCTTAAAGTCTGTTAAATCAGGAGGACTAATCAGGATATAAACAAAGGCACACAAACATGTCTAGTATACATAGTGTACCAATAAGGCAACACTAATCGGACAGAAATTCTTCTTCTTTTTCTTTAGAGCTGCATATCGCCACCTACTGTATAGGGGTGTAATGTGTAATTTCACAGTATGTCAGAGGAAGAAAATAGATGCAAAATAAATAAATGTGGCCAAAAAAAGGTAACTAGTAACTAAAGCCTTTAGAGAAATATAGTGGAGTAAAATGTGTTATTTTTGTTAAACTGTAGTGGAGTAAAAGTAAAAAGCTTTTTTTAGTAGTAAGTGCAAATTTTCAAAAACTGTACTTGAGAACAGTACTCAATCAAATTAACTTCATTACTGCCTACCTCTGGCTGTAACTGATTACCTGTTAAAATCTACCCAAATCAAGATGGGCTTCCACAGCCAATCAAAAACGCATCATCTCAATATTAAGCAACATTTTGGTGTCAAAGTGGTTGCAGTCATTCACAACACATGCCTAAAGTGCTAACTGATCACAAGTTAATGCAATATTGCATAAGATTTGTCACGCTATTTTCAAGTTTTGACCAAAATGTCTACAACTCTACCATTTCCTAATTTAAGATAATCTTAGTCTAAAACTCATGCAGGACAGACAATATGCAAAACTTCGAACAATGTGAGGGCTATATTTACAATGTGATGTTTTTTTCAATACATTTTCTTTCACAAAATCGCAGTTTAGCATTGTATAGTGGGCTGGGGATTTGCTTGTGCCCTTGATCCAGATGTTCCACATCTATAGAATCGTGTTTAATCCTTCTGGCTCTTTTTTTCCCTGTGTGCCAAATTCATATGATTTTATTTATTATTTTGCTGAGTCTTTTAGCTTTATTTGGCTGTTTGTCATTTTGGTGGATGTTTGTTATATTTAAGTCTATAACTACAGCCCTGATAACAATCTATGCCTCTACACATTACATAGTAGTACAGCCACCAATCAAGACATGCAATGAAACCAGCTCTGTGTGTGTGTGTGTGTGTGTGTGTGTGTGTGTGTGTGTGTGTGTGTGTGTGTGTGTGTGTGTGT